CTTGGCCAGGATATAATTATAAAATATGACATGATTTTAAAAGTGACCTATAAAATCGACTATGCAATACACTTTAATTTATCTAGTGCTAATAAAATTATTAAGCCTATTTGGAGAGAGAGATGTTTTAAAATCGACTATGCATTACACTTTAATTTATCTAGTGCTAATAAAATTATTAAGCCTATTTGGAGAGAGAGATGTTTATAATGTGACAATATGTCAGTCATCGTGATTCGTGTAATAAGATGACTAGGCCTAGACTACTTGTTCTGAGCAGGTGTTGTCAGTGAACAGGCTGTAAAACTGTTGTCTAAGTTACAGACTGATACTAATTAAATGGGAAACGAATCGATTACCTAACGTAACCTCGGTTCTCTCTAGATGAGGGAACGAGCATTGCGTAAGCTAGCTTACGCTACGGGAAAGATTCATCTTACATCAGTCAAGTTGTCATAGTTTTTGTCAAACAAGTTGTGAATTTGTTGTAACATTAAAACAGGAGATCATGACTTACTCCGTGCTCCAAGTGATGTTCGGAGCTCCAGTGATTAGTTTCATCTGTGGGACGGGTGAAGAAACTTTCGGAAGATGTTGTAACAGAATCATATGAACAATTCCAGGATATGCTTTTTTTCATTGGTTGTTGCGTTAAATTTTACCCAGATACAATAGTGCCCTTTTCTGATTGGCTATTAAGTAGCACTTCTCTTTTTTTGATTGGCTGATGCGTAGCAGGGTCGACTGCTGAACTCCAGGCGAGACGCGCTTGATTCTCACGTGAGAGCGGCGCGGCCAGAGAAATTGCGTATATTAAATATATTATTAATAGTTTTTCCGCATGAGAAATACAATGTGTGACGGGAGTGTGAGACAAAAGACTGAAACGAGTGACTGTCATGCTCAATGCGTGACACACTATAAAAAAAATATTTCACACTGACTCCACATTTAGGGGGGCCACAAGGGGGTCCAAGCTTGTTGTCGCAGGGGCACTGGCCCCCCCAGGCCCCCGCCTAGAACCGCCACTGCTCACACACACACACACACACTTTCTCTCTCTCTCAAGAAGCAAAAACATAACTGCTAAAGGTTGTATCAGCGATGGCGGGGTAACACCACTTAACATCACGAGTGATATTCCCTTAGGCCACGCCCCCTTGTCTCCCCAAAGTATTATAAGCAATCATGCGCATCCCGTGTGCAGAATGATGCACTTGAAGCAACACCAAGTCACAGCACGCAACGCTTCACATTGAAAAGAACATAGCGAAGGGATGGTATCTATAATCTATGCTTAGTAGGGCTGCACGATTTGGGAAAATGTCATATTGCCATTATTGAGCCAATATTGCAATTGCGATTTGCGACTCCGATATAATAAAATGGTTTCATGAGTCCAACTTGCTTGGTTCTAAAGTAAAATGCACACACAGATTAATGTTTATTTCTCAACTCAAACTAAAAACAACAACAACAATAAATGATTGATAACACCTATAATGATCAATAAACCATCAACCAAACCAACATTACAGTGATTCCATCAATTGAAAGCCATCAACTTTTAAAAAAATTATTAGGCTTAAAAAAAATATATAACAGCTTTTAAATTAAGTGAACTTCAAACAATCCCCGCATAAACCCATAATAAAAAACATATTTACCTGTGCCCTTCCTGTCTTAACAGGTACAGAAATTGAATAAAGTTATCAAACAGTCTGCGCTGCCTGAATCATAAATTATATATATAATAATCCTTATTAAAGCTACAAAAGTTCTTTACTCAAGATCAGTGAGTAATTTTCTAATTTCCCTTTGTTCTTTTAACTTTACTGAAAGAACGCTTTATTCGCTGCTGGCCCTTTAAGAGCACCCGTTGCCGAGACGCGGATCTCACACGCGCCTCATAGCACAACTCTTTTTATCCATAGACTTTTCTTATGTTATGAAGATACTAGACAAAACCACATTTTGGCATAATTGTGTGTGCTATTGTTCGTTCAAGCTCGAAAGAGAACTGTTTATTCTGGGCTGGCACACGGTCAGTGCATGCGCATTATGCGTATCATCTAATCTAGGGCACTCACAGGCAGCTTTTCACTTCTTGTCGTGCAAAATGCGAAAAGGCATTTGAACCAATAAGAGGGGGATCTTGTAACACTAGTCAAAGGATGACAAAAAAGAAGAGATGCTGCGCTAATAGCCCTACTTTGTTTATTTCATATAAAATCGCGGCATTTTGCGTTATATAATTGCATAGGTTTGAGATCGCTATTACGACTGCGATATAATTAATCGTGCAGCACTAATGCTTAGTGTATTCTAAAGGGCAATAAACTCCACTCCAGCAAGATAGTCATTTTATGCAAATCATAGACCTTTATGCCTTATCTACAAATAAAGTATAATATTGGGAACATTGATCTTGAAGAGAGTGTCGTCGTGTTACTGTCGCAACCGAACGCGACGCGCTAATGCTGATGCATGGAGAATGACTGAGGCGAGATGACTTTCCGTTAACTTTAACTTAGAGACTAAAATATTAATTTTACCACACATTAAGCTATTAAATGACTTTAGAAGTCTTGGAATATAGTGTGAAAACTTGATTGTGCTTTACAGTTTTTTATGCGTTTAGTGGGGCTTAACAAAATAACACAATATGCAGAATGTCGGACGTCACTTATAGGCTAAACTGTTTTTATAGATAAAACTAGGCTATTTACATTCGGCAGTCATGAAAACAAATCTCAGATAACGGTTGACTAGGTAACAATGTGTAATTTTGCGCCGGAGTTCTCCTTTAACTTACATTAGCTAGCTAACTACGAACGAGCTAACCAGATAACATTAACAAATTGACAAGCACTTACTGGGCAGAATGGCTGGCTCTTCAAATGACGGACGAAATTGGAGGTTGTCATCTGACTGTCCGCGATCTTAACGTTGCATGTCTTGCAAAGCGCTGTTCTTTTGCCATCTTGTTGTAAGAAATTCTTGAATCCGAAAGCGACCCTCGGTATCCCTCCGGCTGACATGTTGATGTGATCTGATGTAAGTGGGCGTGGTGTGCGCGTAAGGTATGAGAGGGCATGACTGATGATCTCTGATCCAGTCATGACAGCGCTATTCTCAGCCTGCGCTCAAGCTGGATCAACTTTATTTTTTTTACATAATTTATATATTTTATATTCAAACTGAAAACATGATGTGATTAACACTCAAGTCATATTATTACATGCAAGTGTGTTTGATTTATGGACCAAATTTTCAGATCAAGTTTATGGACCAAGTTAATTTAATTAATAAACTAATTATATAAAACTATTAATGCACTACAATTAAACTGGTTATATGCCTTTACTTATAAAAAATAAAAAACTTATTTAAAAAATACCAGGCTTAAGGCATTTATTTTTTATGCAGGCCATACACACAGGAGTGAAATGGTTAAGACCCCTCCCCCTACAAACACACACACATACACAGACAGGCAAAGAGAGATGTAGGCTCAGATTGAGCAAGACCACATTCAAACAAACATATCTGACTTTCTGTGGGTCCTAGCTAATGAGTGTCAATTAGAAAGTTGTCCGGCTCGAGGAGTACAATATACATACCGATTTTTGTAACTGTAGATAAAACTAACAACCCCACTTTTGTCAAAAGGTGGCGCTACTGAGCCCTCACCACGCCCGTTTCTGAAACTTTGCACGTGTCTACTGGCTAATAAATGTGATGTGTCTGTCGAGTTTCATGCAATTTCAAGCATGCTAAGGGTCTCAAAAGCATCCTAAAAGAATGGTAACGTTTGATGCGTCGCCACGGCAACAGTTTCAAAGATATCAAGAATCCATTCACAGGTCTACATCTGCCGTATGTTTACATTATACAGATGACGTTTGAAGCAAATCGGGTAAAAATAAAAGGGTGATATCAAAGCATTTTGAAAGTGAAACACTTCCTGCTGCCAGTTGGTGGCGCTATAACTTTGACTCACAATAGTCACATCCATGTGATCGTCCTCTTACAGCGAACACACTGCTGAAGTTTCATCAAGATCAGTTAATGTATGCTGAAGTTATAACACACTTCCTGTTTCACGTTTCTCGCCATGATTTCGTTTCCTCGCCACGGCCAAACCGTTCGAGATATAAAAAATCCCCTCGCAAACTTTCATCCTCAATGTCTTGACTTCATGCTGACCGAGTTTTGTCGAATTTGGATCAAAGCTCTAGGAGGAGTATTTAACATTCCATTGCGAGCGTTTTACAAACAAACCTCAATAGCCGACTTCCTGTTGGGCTGGGGTAAAAAGTAAAAGCGCGAGGTATAGATGAAACTATGAGATCAACATGTGCACCGAGTTTCATATTATTATATACAAACGTGTTTGAGTTATGGACCAAGTGTTCGGACCCCGTTCCAGGGGGCGCTGACGAGCCGCCCTGCCACGCCCGGGTACCAGCTTCAGCCCGGCTCTGATGGCCGCGGGTTCTGACCCATGTGCAAAGTTTCAAGAGTTTTCGAGCACGTTAAGGGCCCCAAAAATGCCCAAAAGGTTACAAAATAATAATAATAAATAATCCTTAGGAAAACAATAGGGCCTTCGCCCTTTCAGGGCTTGGGCCCTAATAAATAATCCTTAGGAAAACAATAGGGCCTTCGCCCTTTCAGGGCTTGGGCCCTAATAATCCTTAGGAAAACAATAGGGCCTTCGCCCTTTCAGGGCTTGGGCCCTAATAATGTGAGTATTGCATCTGGTCAAGGTAAGGTCACTTTTTTGACATAGTGCAACCTTCTAGTGTGCTTATTTTGGTAAGCCAATAAACAAGGCATTGCACTAATCCAGACGTGAAGTAATAATGTACCAAGGGTTCTGCATCAGCCAGAGTGAGAGAGGAACAATATTGTCCAGGTGATAAAAACAATTGCAGCAATATGGGAACCGAATGAAAAAGAAGAGTCAAATAAACCCCATCTAAGAGTCAAATAACCCCATCTATGTCAAAATACAGATTCATTCTTTTGACTGGTGTAGTGAAGCCAATCAGCATTATTTAAAACTATTCAAATAGACACGTTTGGCATCTCATTAGCATAAACAGTTCAATCTCAATCAAAATCCGAGACATCATACTTGGCCAAGTTATTTGTCTTTAAAAAATCACACAGCCCAACATACCTGTTGGACAGTGTCTCTTAATGTCCACAATGACTGATCCACCTTCCAGGTCTCTTATTTTAAAGCGTGAGAAGCTAATATTGTAGACATTGTCTTCTAGGGAGCACAGGTAATCTGCACACAAAACCAATAATAGTTAAGAAAAGAAAACTATTGTGCAGTAAAACAAACAAAAACACAAATAAGCTGCTTTGTTTGCGTCGTCCTCACCGTCTGTGTATCCTGGTAGTCTGAGGACATACTGAGGGGTCACAGGGTCACCTGGCTTCCAGTCCAGCAGCGCCTCCTCTTTAGCTGCAAGACCTTCTCCTGAAATAAACCCATTCCAGTCCACCACATCCCTCTTATCCCCTCTGCCCTGCATTTCAGTTGTTTCCTCCTCCTCTTCAGGTTCATCTTCCTCTAGTTCACTGTCCTCGCCTCTCTCAGAGGACAGTTCCTGCTCCATTTCTTCCTCACTCTGTGTTACTTCTTTGACAACCTCACTGTCCATCTAGAAATCTTTGACAAATTTTCCTTTCTGTCAGGTTAACTAACACATCTGTTGTCAGGCACACTCTGTGATTACCCTCTGCTCTTCTCTCATAAACTGTCTCAGTGACTCAAACAGATTAAGGCTATCTCAAACAGCTAATCCAAGCCAATCCTCAATTAAACACTGACACAGCAAATATGGCATCAACGAAAGGACAAAAAGGAACAGATAGAATTGAATGTAGATGTGCAGTAGAATTATGGAGGATAGTGAGTGGATATAGAGAAAGAGATGACCAGGACTGATGTGTATTAGACACAGACACCGGAAAAAGTGGTGATGTGATATTGATCTCACACAGCTATCTACAGTCATGTGAAAAATAAAGTACACCCTTTTGAATTCTATGGTTTTGTGTATCAGGCCATAATAAAAAATCATCTGGTCGCAAGCAGGTCTTAAAATGAGGTAAATAGAACACATTACGTATAACACCGTGTCATGGTTTAGCAAAAATAACTAAAAAAAAAATAGTGCACCCTATAATTTAATTTCTTGTAGAAACACCTTTAGCAGCAATAACTTGAAGTAATCATTTTCTGTATGATAGTATCAGTCTTTCGCATCATTGTGGAGGAATTTTGGTCAGCTTTTCTTTAAAATGTTGCTTTTGTACATTGAGGTTTGTGGGCATCTGTTTATGCACAGCTCTCTTAACGTACCTCTGGTTGAGGTCTGGACTTTAACTGGGCCAGTGCAAGACTTTGATTCTTTTCTTTTTCAGCCATTCTGTTGTGGAGTTGCTGGAGTGCTTGGTCCTTGGGATCATTGTCTTGTTGCATGACCCAATTTCAGCCAAGCTTTAGCTGTCGGACAGATGACTTCATATTTGACTCTAGAACAGATTATTAAGATGGTATTAAGATGCGGTTTGGTTGATGGGATCACAAGTAGACTAGGGAGAGAACATACCCATTTTACACCTGGTATTTTAACCCATTTTATATTTCATACTATAACTACTCTATGTTTTTATAAAATGAATGAAGCCTTGGTAAAAATAAGAGAAAAAAAAAATCTACTGAACCTAAACATTTGTATGGTAGTGTATGTCTGTATATCAAAAGCTGTGCATCCAATTCAAATCTACTGTATTTTGGAACAACTTCACCTGCAACTTTGAACAGGCTAGTCAAAATAGGTAGATATCATCATGGAAAGCCGGTATAATGCCATCTGTAACATAATAACACCATGGAAAATGTACAAATAAAAGAAATCTACCAAGAAAATATGACCTAGACAGTCTAAATTGCAAGTCGATCTAAATTTAATGTAGTCTAGGCTAGACTACATTAAATTTAGATCAACTTGCAATAAACATGTTTATTTTGTGTGTGTGTGTGTATATTACTGGCTTTGTGTAATATTAATATATATATTAATGCTAGATATTTATCAATATATTGACGTACAATTATTTTTAGTTTTTCAGAAAAAAAAAATTATTGGTTCCTCCCACTGCACATTTTGTTTGTGTCCTTCAGCGGACACACCCAATTCAAGTCTTGCAGTCTCTACTAATGAGCTGTTGGGTTGAATCAGTTGTGCTAGGTGGGGGACACACACAAAATGTGCAGTGGTGGGGCGTACAGGTTTGAGAAGCACTGGTGTTCAGGACAAAACTCTAGTGACATCTATGTCATCTCATCAAAACAGCACTGTGGTGACGAGTGGGCGTCCTCATTAGAGTGATGTGCAGTTGATCAATCTGAATGTAATATGAGTCAACAGGATGTGTTCAAATATCTGCTCTTTATTTGCTTCCACAGCAGCACTGATGGAGGGAAGAGGTGGAGCCACTCAACCACATCCTCTTCAGCACAACCTCTCACCTCATCCCACTGTTGGCATGGTGATCAAACTGTCATTTCCTCGCGTCACTTCGAAGAGTTTCAGCGAGGGGAGAGAAGTATCCCAGAAGGCACCACTGCGCAAACGAAGAAATCACAGTGCATCAGGAAGAGACAACGTGATGAGTTCTTAACATCAGGTAGAGTTTGTTTGTTTCTGTCAGTTGATTAAACCTAAACGAGAAGTAATACAGACATATCTTGCTTTCGATTTCTCATCTGTTTTTAGTGTATACAAATGCGCAGTGTGGATTTTATGCTGCTTCGTGACGTTGTGTGTTTGTTGTAGGCCTGGAGTGTTTATAGTCAGGCAAGTCAAATAGAATCAAATTAACTGTGTCTTTTGGCAGTAGCTATCAGTATTAGAAATTCACAGGGAAAAATGGCAACATTTCAAACATTACAAAGTTGACGGAGTTTAGATTGCTGGGAAACACGACTTATTTTTGCTCTGACTGGCACACCAACATGCTGATCTAACAAAACCTAAAACCAATAGAATTTGGTGTGTTGTTTTTTGGGTAAGTATATTTAATACTTACATTTATGTATATTTAATTAAATTAAAGTATATTTCATTAAAAATAATTCAATATACTGCGGAGGCAGTATATTTAACAATTTTTTTATAGTGATTACAAAAATAAGTAAATTAATTAACAGTGTTACACAATTCTACGAAGCCTCTAACTGCATCAATTATGTGGTAACACTTTAAAATAAGGTCCAACTTATGAATAACTAACTAACTAACAATACTATCTTATATTTATTAAAATATATATGCATACTTATACTACTGTTAAAAATGTTGGGGTCAGATATTAATTAAGACTTTTTTTCCATCAAGGATGCATTAAATTGATCAAAAGTAAAAGTAAAAACATTTATAACGTTGCCGAAGATTTCTATTTTAAATAAATGCCGTTATTTCAACTTTCTATTCATTAAAGAATCCTGAAGAAAATATATTTCACCAAAAATATTAAGCAGCAACTGTTTTCAACATTGGTAATAAGAAATGTTTCTTGAGCACCAAATCAGCATGATAAAATGATATTCATATTTGTTAACTACAAACATTTAAACCAATGTTCATTGTAAGTTCATGGTACTAATGTATAATGCACTGAACTTTATTGTAAGTGAATTCATTTTATTTTCAAATGTTTTCCCATTATGGCTGAACTCATATCGTCTCGATCTTTTACAGAAGTCACAATGGAGATGACTTTACTGTCCATCACAGTGTGGTTCACTCACTTCCTCATCGCCTCAGCTCTTTATTTCAACACACTGCCAACAAACACCATAACTGACAGCACTGAAACCACCCAAGTAATGCAAGCAACAAAATCAAGACAAGAACCCAAGATCCTAATACATACAACACCTTTCTCGCCTCTGACCACAAAAGCACAGGAAAGCACAACAAATTTACCCAGTGAAGTGCATACACAGCCAAATACAACCCCAAATGTGGCGTCCACACAGGAAACAACATCCCTGCATCAATACAACAGCAGCACTCCATCTCAAGGCATGATGGATGATGGCATAGGCATTAGCAATGCTAGCAGTGTTGCAATGAGCCACACAAATACAAGTCATACAACAGTTTCCACTAACTTTGCAAGAGTGACGCCTCAAAATAATGAAACAGTAACAATGTCAAGTGCGAGTTACACTGATGACGGACGAACAGTTCAGACTGTAGACACCTTATCAGACCTGCTCAGCAGTGTCTCAACAGTTCCCTGGAAAGACCGGACAGAGAAAGAGGGTGACAGAACAAAAGCAGATGAAGGAAATTATGAAACGAACTCCACCCAGGCCACATTTGCTAATACGAATGAGTCGAGAGGAACTCTGAGCACTGAGGGAAGTTACAGCATCACAAGTGAACACAGAGAGGAACCTTACAACACAACAGCAGATACAATTGGTGAAAGTACGGCAACAGCGAGAAACGATTGGTCAACATCACAAAGCACAGACATTCCCATGATCACACCGGCTTCCTCAACAGCACGAGACCCAACGGTTACAGATGGACCTGAATATCACACCTCGATAGGTGGTGTAAATCACTCAATGACACAGCAGCATATAAACAGTTTCACAAACTCTACTGCACACGCAGGAAGAGAAAACATTACAGGAACAGACACACCCGGTGATACCACCACCTATAACAACAACTCTATCATAACAGGTGTCCTAACCGATGCCACAAACAAAACTGACACAGAAAGCAAAGCTTGGCATAAATGTTTGAACCCAAACCCCAAATCTCGTCAATTCACACTGATGTGCTTCATCACATTGTGGACTTTAGCAATGATTGCTACCATATTCCTAGGAATAACCATCTTCCTGTGGGTGCGTCTGTCTGTCTCTAAAAAGAAGAGGAAGCAGAGGGAGAAGGGAGGCCAGACGTGCGAGAAAGAG